AGGGCATAGACAAACAAATTAAGAGGATTTGTAGGTGGTTCAACGATATCCATTTAAACAAACTCTCTTATTCATAGATTTCCCATAATCCCATGATATTCATCCGAATTAATCATGTAAATCTAATCCATCCAAATCCCCAATATCCTTCTAAATCCAATATCTTTCAAGCCCATTGATATCCTTTTAATCCAGCTAAATCTGTCAATTCCCTTATTAATTTCAAAATTTTCGCTCTCTTATAATCCCCCACACGAAAAAATAAAAATTTTGGCCGCGGTAGTTTGGGTATGGGTAGAAATTCCGGATTTGTTTACTGACGGATTGTCCACTGACGGATTGTCCGACCACTGACGGATTGTCCGACCACTGACGCATTGTCCACTGACGGATTTTCCACTGCCGGATTGTCCACTGACGGATTGTCCGGTCACGAATCTGTCCAGACCCCCTCCCCACGATTAGACTTGTAAAGAAATCGAAAGAAAAAGGGTTTTGATAAAACTGGTGCAGTTTTTCAGGGTAATGGGCATTTAGGGTATAAGTCTTAAATTTTCCTCTAAAATAATAAATGAAAATTAAATAAAATAGATTTATCAAACTATAATTTTTAGTAAAACATTAAACCAAACATTAAAACCAAAAATATAAAAATGTACTGAAAATAAGATTCCCAATATAGAAATTTTTATTTTTTTTGCAAATTTCCCAATGTAAATATTCTGTTTATTTTTTTATTTTGAGTAAAATATCCAAAATAGAAATTTATTTCAAAATAAAAAAATTTTTTTTCAAATTTTATAAATAAATAGAATATTTACATTGGGAAATTTGAAAAAAAAATTTTCGATGTATATTGGGAATCTTATTTTCAGTACATTTTTATATTTTTGGTTTTAATGTTTGGTTTAATGTTTTACTAAAAATTATAGTTTGATAAATCAATTTTATTTAATTTTCATTTATTATTATGGAGGCAACTTTAAGACTTATACCCTGAATGCCTATTACCCTGAAAAACTACACCAGTTTTATCAACACCCTTCTTCTTTCTGTTTCTTTTACAAGTCTAATCGGGGGAGGGGGTCTGGACAGATTAAAGGAAATAAAGTTGGAATTAAGAAAAGGTTGTGCCAGGAACTGAAAAAATATTGAGATAGTTGAAGATTTTAGCCTGAGATAAAATTCTAAATCAAGCAAATTTTATGTTGTCAGATTAACAATTTAAATTAATTTAATAAAATTTGAATAATTAATTTTTTTGCAAAAATATTTTGAAATTAATAAAAAAAAGTTTTTTTTATTAATTTTTATTGTTAGCTAAAGAGTAAAGCATCAAGCATTAAATGCAAAAACAAAATTTAAAAATAAACTAAAAATGATTTTTTTTCATAAAAAATACTTTTTTTTTTGCAAATTTCTCAACAATTTGTTTATTTAAAAATAAATTGAGTAAAAATTAAGCAATTAAATCTACTAGTTTGGTAATAATTTGGAAAAGCTTTTCTGCTTGGATTTAAAATTTAAATGGACAAAAATGCAAAATCAATCCTAAACATACTAAGTTGATGTGTTTTGGATATTCACGTGAATTTATTGATAAATAAAAAAAATTGCAGATGTAAGGTTTTATATAAAAATAAATTTTTTCACTACGTTTTTAGGCATCTTTTATATCAGATTATTTTAAAAATTTATTTTATATTTTTTAATTTAAATTTTTTATTACCCCTGTTTATTTGGCAGACCGAAACTTGCGGACCGACTTTTGCGGACCCGACGAATTTCTCAAAACATAGCTCATTCGAAAGAGCTCGACGAGCTGAGTCGAATGACATCAAAATCATCGTGATTGTCCAAGCTTGGACAAAGTTACGATAGAAAAACAAAAGCATAAAGCCCTGGTCCGCAAAAGTCGGTCCGCAAGTTTCGCACTACCGTTTATTTTCATACCAAATACATGGCGATAAGTACAAGCTTTGCGTATTGTGCAGGTTTACAAGAGATGGCGCAGACCGTTTACCGAAATCGGGATTTATTTTTTATTCGGCGTGATCCCTGGATTAACCTTAATCTCAGAAATTATCTTTAAATCACAGAATTATCTTAAACTAAAAATATTATTTTGACATTAAACATTATATAATCAAAAAAAATTTTGTATAATCAAAAAAAAGAAAAATTTAAACTCAAAATTATTGAGTCAAAAAAACTTTTTGCTCATTGTTTGATAGAATTATTAGAAAATTATCTTTAAACCTGAAAACCCAATTAATGGAGATCTGTCCTACGCTCCAAGATCCTGCAATCAAAACGAAATTTCCGGTTAGCGACGGTATTTAGTGCCTGAGGCGAAAATTTAGAAATCTGGAGAACAACCAACTCATTGAAAATTACAAAATTTTGGAGATGTAACTACTATATAATGCCACTTTGATTATCGATTGATTCTCTCTTCTTCTTCAAAAAGGCATAGGCTTTTGTTCAAAGCCTTTCCTTCGCTGCTTGCACGTGACTTGCACGTGCAACCAGCCAAAACCTATTGAAGGGTTTTTTCGGTAAATTTTTCTCCAGCCAAACCAAAACCTTTTGAAGGTTTTTGCGGTAAATTTTTTTCCCAAAACCTATTAAAATTATTTTTTAAAATTAATTTTCCGCCAGCGGAGTCGAACCACCAACCTTCAGCCTGTAGGCGGACGCCTTATCCATTCGCCCGCTCGCGAGTGTTAATAGTTTTGAATTAAAATTGAATATATGTCGGCTGGTTTCCTTCTCTCTTCAACCAGCTTCAACGGGAAAAATTAGTATTGATTGAATCACCACTAAAACCCCGCAAGGTAAGAATAAAAAGAGAAAATAAAGAGGTATTGGATAAAAGTAAGAGACACAGCCCTGACTCAACCTGGTTGAGTCAGTGCATGTTCTCTAACCCCTCCTCCTCCCAGTGGGAAAATTTATTATTGATCGAACTCCCCCGAAATACCCACTAAGAGAAAATAGAAAGAGAAAATAAGGAGAGAGAAGGTTATAATGAGAGAGACAGCACTGACTCAAAAGGTTTGAGTCAGTGCGGGAGAATGTTCTCTAACCCAGTGGTTAGAGAAAAGAAAAATAGTGTGGCAGCGGGATGGCTGTCACAAACTACAGCCACGCAGCTGCGGGAGAAGTGAGAAAGTGTATTCTCTTAGGAAAGTACACTCACTCATCTAACAACACATTTGGTCGCTTAACCTATAAAACCACGTTTGGCCAACAACCGCAAAAACCATATTTGGCCAGCCACCCTAAAAACTACATTTGGCCAACTACCCTAAAAATCACATTTGGCCAACTACCCTAAAAACCATATGGGCAGGCTACTTCAGTTACCATCATTTTTCTTTGCTTATTATTTTTGGGCCCGTGTAGAAACAAGGGGAAAATTTTGAACAATATTCTCTGCCTCACTATTGGTTAAATAGCCGCGGTTGCGCAAATATCTTATTGTTGAAACCCAGCAAAGAATTAGGATGGGTAATAAAAGTGAATATAGTAATAAAATTATGGGAAATCCCGTACTTATAGTTTGGCCCTGTTTACCCTCCAAGTATTCCCTATCAAGAGATAAAAAATCGTAAGGAATGTAGCTTGTATTGTTCATTATTATTACCAAAATGAGAAAAACTTTTATGTATTAACCTAGTGTTGAATCAGAAACAATATGTCTGTTATAATCAATCATTAGCAATTGGTCAAACTCGCCCATAATAATCATCTCAACACCCCCTGCCGGAATTGGAGAATTAAATTCTAAACGAACACTAGTTGTTCCGCTACGTAAAAGCTCAAAACCACAAGAATCATCTAAAGTAGATGTTAGTGGAATAACAAAGAAGCTCCAGCCCGATTTAAATTGGGCCATTCAAATATCAAAGGACCTATCAGAATTGGCCATCCCCAATGCTTCATACATGTCAACATAAGCCCTTACAAAAATATCCTCGTCAAATTTAAGCTTATAAGAGACCATTGGATAAATATGACCGCCAGTATGAACCGAAATATCTCTCAAATTGAATGGTTTAAAATTAAACGTGGACAAGCCAAATGTCCCCGTTAAATGCTCCATTTGCAACAAGTGCAACTGTAATTCTTCTAGGAATGGTTGAACTAAATGCATTGTATTCAATCTCTGTTCTCCCGGGACTTAGGAACGTTGATTTTAGCTCAGTTCTTCTCACTGAATAAGTAGCCGGTTTTGATTCAAGGGTTTTTAAATGCTCATGTTAAGTGAGGGCTGGACCTCTATCATTTTCGCTAGCAATTTAACATCGTGGACAAATATTCTATACTGATTTTCGTCAGCAGGATTTAACTTCTGAAGTGCAAAAGCATCTTTGGAGCGATAGATGCTAAAGTGAATATCAAGATTGTTGAGTAGAAATAATTCCTGATTTCCCAAATCAAAATCTAAGCGAGAAAGGAACTGGGCCCGCTTTCCTTCTTTAAAAATCGAGCAACGTTCTAGAAAACCATGATCAGTAATATCATCATGTTTATTGCTCAACCGATAGCCAATGGAAGAAAGAAAATTTGTTTTTACATTCTCAGGAAATGAGAGTTCATTTGTTAAATATGATTTATAAGGATAAAGAGTTCCGCTATCATAAACCTCTGTGTTACCTACAGTAACTTTAAGTTGTTGAACAAATGTTTGCCCAATTCCTTGGATTGACCCAATACCAGTATCGGTTGCCAAAATACGTGTCCATTTTCCTCCTCCTTCCTGTTTTTCAATAGAGAGCTCAAGGTGAAGATATGTACGGCTCAAATCTGTCCAGAGATTATCGCTAAACAAACGAAATAGATAGGGAGAGTCTTGTGTTATTGTACTAAGTGGAAGAATTTCACGAAAGAAGGAACGAATAACAGAAACATTTGTGGGAGGAACGGAAAAAATGCTTAAAGCACTGTTGAGAGCTAGTGGGCTGTTCTCATTAATCTTCTTGGAACAACTCATTTTAATATGGTCCTAATGCGTCTACGCGTAAACGTTTCTTTGGACGAGATATTTTCTTTTTTGAAAAAGTAGGAATAAAGTTTGGTGGGCCAATCTTGGAATAACAAGTCTTATTTATATTTTCGCTATTCATCTGTCCAATTGTTTTGGGACGTCTTTCCTTTTGTCTTTTGAATTCAAAACCATTTCCTTTTTGCTTCTCAATATTATTGGCTGCCTTTTCTAACAAATTCTTAAGTCCTGATTTACCCTCATTTACAAGAGATTCTTTAAGGTCTTTCCCTTCCAATACGTTACTCAAGACACGATTGCCTGATTCCAACCCTTGGCGGCCAATGGCTGTGCCAATGTCTTTACCAATTGGAATCAAATACCTCAGTAAACTTCGAAAAACAGATCCTAAACCGCTACCTCTTTGGAAGGGAACTCCACGAAAAACGTTATAACCACCCCATTGGTCATGAGATTCGGTCAACGACGACCAATCAACATAGAGAGGATTAAAGTCAATATGCATTGTAATGTACAAAATTTGCTCTTTCAATTATTTATATTAAAAGCTTTAGTAGCAATAAACTGCGAGACAAATCTATCAGAATTCACTCTGCTTAATATTAAAAGAATATTGTCCATTGAAAAACCTGAACAACGCATAAACAAGAAAAATATTGCGTATTTACCACAAGCGCGCCCCATTGGCTGCTGTATTTGAATATTATTATAGGAAACTTTTGTAAAATTTGATAAATATTTTTTAATATAAAAGCTAAATGGTGGCCAAAATCCTAACGAGTCAAAGTAATCAACACTAGAGGGAGATGAGCAAAATATAGCTATCCAATGAGAGCCTGGGAGCAATGAAGAGTCGGTATTAACAACCATACAATAGGGAAAATTAGATATTGTAAGAGGAATCCTATCAGATGCAAAACATCCAATATAAAACCTTTTTGTAATAGCGTTCCTTCTCAGTATTTTGTCAATTTGTATCGTATTCATTAAAAATAGGCAGATTTTTTAAAGTGGAGAGTTAATGTACAAGTTCCGTATTGAAATGGCATAAGTACTCCACCGGCCGTGCGTATTTCAATGAGTATTTCGGAAATTTCTTTTACAAGTAATTTATGGTACTGTACAGAAAGAAATTGTTCCTCAATAATTTCGTCCTGCTTGCCTCGAATTGTCACAATTCGAAGTACAGGAGATGTAACATCGCCAATCACCATTGGTTCAATTAATCCTGGGGCATAAACATGAAAGCAAGAGACACCTCCGCTCATATCTGGCATGAATTTTGCAATAGTCGATTCATTCAATACAGTTTTGTCAAATCCTAGAATATAAGCTAATTGTTCTGTAATCTCAACTTTCTTTACATATTTTCTACCTACAAATAGAGAAAAACGATTTTTATACGAATGAAAATCAAAGGCACAAGCAATTCCTGGTTTACGATAAACTTGAAGCCAAGGTTCAAACCCAGTTTCTTTAGTTAAAGATAATAATTTTTTAGTATTTTCATCAAGACTCGAGTTAAAATCACTTAACATATCCTCATAAATTTCATTCTCTGACTTGAGATCATCCTCTTGTATTTCAGTTGTATTTAATTCTATTCTCTTCTCCTCTTTTTGTCTAATATACACTTCTTTTGATTTTGTTTTAAGGTCTTTTAACTGTTTCTTGTATTCCATTTCAGTAACCCGTAAATTTTCAGCAAATGTTTCACACCCTTCACTTAACGACCTGTCCAAACTTTCCTTGAGCTGCTGAGGATTAGTCAGTTTGCCAGAGGGAACAGCTACTCGAACAACCTCACTACTTTGCCAAGTTACAGTCACAAATTGATCAGTACTAGTCCCTATTGAAGGCCATGAGTGGGGGTAGACCATAACAGTCAAGCCAACGTACCACTCCGAATTAAATTGTAGCTTACGAGGGAGGCGGACTCTAAAAGAGTTTGTCCTATTTCCATCAACATTTGTGTTTGAAGGGAGAATGATATAGAAAGAAGTCATTTTAACAAAATCGGCAAGAATGACATAATATTTATATCATTTCCAGGTTATTGCACTAGAAGGAATCCACCTGTTATGTTCGTTGCCGTATCCTTTGAATTTTACAAATATCTGATCCTCTCTATTATGTTTTCGCTTATCCAAAACCTTTTCCACAATATAGATACTTTCTTTTAATTTTTTTCTGACTAGAACTAAATCATTACCATAAAACCAACCACGAATTGAGGCTCCTTCCCTATCACGAATTCTATAGGTGGGAGGTTGATGTGGAACCAATCGGACTTTAGCAACAATAAAAATTTCATTTGTAAAATTTGGCAAATATCCCTTTTTAAACACTTGCTTATTCTTTTCCACTCTTACAGGGTCGCCTACATTAAACCTACTTGCTTTCCATCGTCCATGTTGCTCAAGTGCTTTTTCTTTTAAAAATTTCCGTAATGTTTCAGCATTCTCATAATTAACATCTACAGGCCGCATCCCAATACTTGAATTGAAGGAATTGTTTATAGAATTAACAATCTCCTGAATAACATCCACCCATTTTAATGTTTTGTTCTCCGTAAAATAACGGTATAATCGCTCTTTAATGCTACGATTGGCTCTTTCAGCCATACCTGCATGCCATATAGGTGAAGTAATCATAGAGAAATGTTCCATATTTAATGATTTGAAATATTTTTGTACTGGGCTTGCAGTAAATTCTAGTCCTTAATCAGTCAAAAGTTTCCAAGGAACAATTTTTACTCGAGCAAATAGCTTTTTAAATGCATTAATCATATTCCCGCTATGTTTACTTTTGACAGGTTCAGCAAATATTTGGCGGCTAAGTGTATCTATACAGACTAAGAGATAGTTAAACCCTCTATTCTTGCGGCTTATACGATTAAAAACACTCAAATCAGCCTGCCATTCAGTATGCAACCCCGGAGCAAGTGTTGGCATTCGCTTAAATTTTCTCACAACCCTCCTATGGAGGGTAAAGACATTTTGCCCTGCAAGGTAGTTTTTAACATCTTGTCTTGTGATGCTTTTGTTAAAGCGTTTAGCTTCTCCCAATAGAGGTTCAATAGAAGTGAAACAGGAAGGAGATTTTACATTTTTGTATAATTTATTTAAAAGCTTGGTCTTGTATATAACGACGGCTTAAAACAAAATACACCAGAACCTTTTTGTTTAGATTCTGGGAATAGAAGTTGTAGTAAAATAGGGTGATCGCTTATTCTTTTAATAAATTCGTCGTAACCTGTAGGTAATTTCTTTGTACGAACCCCTCTATTTCTAATTATATGGTTAACAATTTCCTCAACATTACTTGTGATGAATGGATAATCGTTACCAATTTTTCTGGCAAGTCTTCCATCCTCCAAAACGCCTAAAATATCAGCATTTTCTCTCAGATAATCCATTGCTTGCTCTTTTGGGTCTGAATCACTTTCAGCTGACTGGTATTCTTCTTCACCGCCCCCTTCCTCTTCCACATCCTCCTCATTCTTAATTGGAATGTGCCTTTTCTTTCCAATTTTTCTTTTTACCTTTTTTCTCAGGACTATTCTAGAATTGTTTACACCTAAATTTTCAGAAAAATTTTTTACATTTACATTTATCGGTTTTTCCTCCTTTTCTTTTAAAAGTTTATTAAATCTCTTCAAATTCTGCTCATAATTAATTGCTTGAGAATCGGGATCCATTCTCTCACTATTAGCAACAGCATTTTTCAAGTGATTTTTGATTAAGCCAATAGCCGTACCATCCCCTTCTTCATTTTTCTCTAAAAGAGAATTGTAAAAATCTTCAGGAATAAGAAACATTCGCTGCATTTTTTTCATTTTTATTTTATTTTTTCATATTTATATTATTTATTTTTTCAACAATTAACGGTATTGAAAGATGAACAATTCGCCTAAATATCACCAAATTAGTCTTTATAATTTAAAGATTTAAAAGAGCCGTGGACTGGGCGATTTAAACCTCTACCTTACTCTATTATTAATTATTGTTATAAAATAATTTTTATTTATTTTAAAAGAAGAAAAGTTTTATTTTATTTTAAAAAATATGTATATGGAAGTGTAAAAGTCAAAAGCTGGGAAAAGCATAAAGCATTATATATTAAAAATTATTAATGTAAAAGATTGGCCGATAAGATCTCAATACCATCTTTTCTTCTTTCTCGTATTTCTTCTCTCAAGTTCACTTTCTTCCGGCTTTCCTCCATGTCCATGACAGGCACCTGTATTTCCTTGACGGGCAGAACCTTAATTAAATTATTTTTGGTACAATCCACAACACTCCCCATTTTTAGATTTTGATCTTTTCGGGTGATTCGTCTCAATATCTGCTTATTTTTCCATTCCCATAATTTTAGAATCCAATACACTATATTTATTATAACCATTATTCTTTCTAAGTATTCCCAATAATCTATTCTTATTAAAATTCCACTTATTGACCAGTTGTTAGTAGGTGGATTAATCCATGCTCCTTGTTGCTCTATCGGTCTATTGTCTATACCCCTATGTCCTAAACTACTGTGCATCAATTGTAAAATGTCAATTTGATCTTCTGATATATTGTTTAGACTGTCTTTAACAAAAATATGAACCGCTAAATTCGGGACTCTGAATATCTTTTTATTGGATATTTTTTCTTCAATTATGTCTTTTGACTTTATTTCAGCTATATCTCCACTCCACTGGTCTATTTTAAAAAATTTTCCATCAATTTTGGTTGTAATATATCTAAATTTATCACGAGGACCTCTATCACTAAAACTTTTTATTATTAAATTCTGTGGGTCTATATATCCTTTTATTACTCCATCTTTCATGCTAATATTTGCTGGTATATCTTTAAAGCATGCTCCGTCAACAGACGGTGTGATGGTATAATTGGTCGGCGTACATTCCCAAAATTCTATAATATTTTTATCTACCCAGTTAGCCTCTAAATAATCATTATTAAGCTTTTCTCTAATAAATTTGGTTGCTTCTAAATGTGATAGCCATGTAGTATATTGGTTGCTTTCTATTGTTTCGCAGAGTATGTTAATTATATTTTCTAGCGCTATTCGATTTTGTTTGTCCTGAAAAACTGCTTCCGCTTGTAATCTAGATAATAATTCACTTAATTTCACACCTGGGTCCCTGTCTATATATCTTTTAACTCTATTTTTATTTTTCTGGTCTATAATCTTTTTAAAATCGTATTCTCTAATAGCAAATCCCGTATTACTTATTCTTAGTTTTTCTCCACAAGTCTCTATCTTTTCTGCATTTTCTTCGAATATTAATGATCTTTGCATGTCTATTGAATACCAAATTCCGTTTGAATAATTTCCTGAAAAGTGCCCTATTTTCTGGTATTTACACATTCTTTTATCGAAAATTTCACTAATATCATTGTTTTTCTCCCATATTATTGCGGCTCCATCTTTTAGGTTGCATTCTTCTTCTATAAATTCACAATGTTTCACTTCCTCTGTTGGTGAATCTATTGTAATTTTACCCGGTTGGCCTATTAGTAGGCTTTGAGTAATGAAACAGTTAACTACCGTTGCTTTTTGCCATCCTATTTTCCACCAGGAGTATTCTAGATTTAAGCTATTCCCCGTATGTAATTCTTTATCACTACCTTTTGTTATTTCCCCATATTCACATTTTTTAAAGTTTACCCAATTTTTGCACTCTTCCGGCGTTATTTTAATTATTTTTTGTTCCGGTGCTTTTTGGTGAGAGTATCCTAGAAAGTCTGTTCTATAGTCGACTGCTTGTTTTATTGCGACGCATTTCCATCCATAAAAACTAAACTCTATTGTATTTGGTTTGAAAATATCCATACTACCACTTAACACATTCTTATTCAGAAGCTTAATAACTTGCTTACATTCTGAGTTCTCTATCTTGAACTTTATTAAATTACTCTTTTTTAAGTGGTGACAGATCATAGGTCTTACTGCTATAGCACTGTTCATTAATGTGAGAATATTAATC